CCCCCCCCAAAGTTTGTGGCTTGTCCTCAGTCCCTTGCCAGCCTGGTGTGGTGGTGAAGAGCCGTGGACTCTGATCCCATGAGGCCCGCTGGGCGACCCTTGGGCCAGTCACAGTTCTCTCAGAACTGTGTGTTGCGGGGAGAGGAAGGGAAGGCAATTGTAAGCCGTTTTAGGGCAGAGAAAAGTGGGGTATAAAAACCTACTTTTCTTTTTCTATACCCCAAGGTGGGGCTGGCACTCCAGGGCCTCCTGCCCGGTTGGAATGGGCACCAGGAGTTGGTGGTTGGGGCAGTGTTGGGGAGAGAAGGAGCCCTCGGGCAGCTGACCCTTACATCCCGGGGGGTCGGGACGTGGCCTCTCTGTGGCGGCCCCTAAGAAGCCTGTCGGCAGCAGAGAAGAAAGTTGGATTCCTTGCAGCCAGGGTTCCCTCTAAGCTGAGTTAGCGTGAGCCAGCTCACAGTTGTTTAGCCTCCGGCTCACAGATTTTTGTCTTCGCTCAGGAAGGAGGGCTCCAGATCAAAAGAACTGATGCTGCAGCGCAATCGCTCGCTCACAATTTTAATGCCAGTAGCTCACAACGTATAATTTTTGCTCACAAGACTCCACTGCTTAGAGGGAACGTTGCAGTTGCAGCCTCTCCTGTAAGGGCCGAGCGTTATGATTCCCAGTGGGCCACAGGGTGGTCCCCCCAACCTGATTTTGAATCACTCCGTCATGCAAGTCACCCTACTGGGAACGTTGTTTTCTCCCAGGGTGGTGTGTGACTGGCTGGGGAACCCACACGCCTCCCCTCAGGAATCCTAACGTGCATAGAATAGAATCATAGAACCACAGGCCACCTAGCGCCCCCCCCCCCCCCCTGCTCAATGCAGCCTCGGCCTAGAGCATCCCTGACCAGTGTTGGTCCAGCCGCTGCTTCAAGACGGCCAATGGGGGGGGGGGGGAGCCCCCCACCTCCCGAGGCAGCTGATTCCACCATTGCTCAACTCTGACTGTAGAAAAAGTTCTTCCTGATAACCCATCCGGTACCTTCCCGCCCTGAATTTAAACCCAGTCTTGCGAGCCCTCTCCTCTGCTGCCAACAGGAACAGCTCCCTACCCTCCTCTTAAGTGACAGAGCCCTTCAAATCCTTCAAGAGAGCCATCCTGTCCCCCCTCAGCCTCCTCTTCTCCAGACCGAACCTTCCCAAGTCCCTCAGCCTTATAGAGCTTGGTCTCCAGGCCCCCAGTCGTGCAGTCTGGCCCTGGGTGTGTCTAGAAATGAGGAGCCATTTCCCAGTCCAACAACAAGAAGAAGAAGAGAAGAGATTGGATTTATGCCCCGCCCTTCACTTGTAGTCTCAGAGCGGCTTACAAACTCCTTCCCCTTCCCCTCCCCACAACAGACACACCCTATGAGGTGGGCGGGGCTGAGAGAACTCTTGACAGGAACTGCTCTTTTTCAAGGACAGCTGTGCCAGAGCTTGTGACTGACCCAAGGTCACCTCAGCAGGTGCAGGTGGAGGCGTGGGGACTCAAACCCGGTTCTCCCAGATTAGAGTCCGCATACTTAACCACGACACCAGACTGGCTCTCTGACCCACAAGGGGTCCTCCAGGCCATGCCCCGAGAAGAGGGCTTCTGCCCTGGAAGTCTGGTTAGACTTGGACCCCGCCCGCCCTGCTCTGGGCCCGCAGGGGCACAAGGAGTGAGGAGCGATTCGGGGCTTGTCCAGAGTTCCGCAGAGCAGAGAACGGAAGTGGCGGTCAGGGAGGGGCAGCCGTGCGTGTGTGTGTGTGTGAGGGGTGGGGGTGTTTCTTGATGCCTCTGTGGTGGTGGTGGTGGTGGGGGGAGTCTGGGAGCAGAGGGGCTGACGCGGGTGCCGTCCTCCCCGCAGACATCGTCCAGGCGCACTACCAGCCGGTGGGCTTCCTGTCGCTGGCGCACGGCGTGTGCCAGGGCCTCTTTGAGGAGGTGCTGCTGCTGCTCCAGCCGCTCTCCCTGCTGCCCTTCAGCCTGGACCTCCTCTTCGAGCACCGCCTCCTGCAGATGGGCAAGGAGCAGCGGCAGCAGAAGGAGCTCCTCCGCACCCAGCAGGGCCTGGTCCTCTCCGCCCACTCCACCCTCCAGCTGATGAGGACCCGGGGCGGCAGCGGCAGCAGTAGCAGCGACCGGAGCTGGGGGGCCGAGGAGGACCCGGGGCGGCACCGCGTGGAGGCGGAGGAGGAGGAGGGCCGAGCCAAGGGTGTGGGGGCCCCCAGCGGAGGTGGCAGGAAGGAGGAGGAAGAGGAGGCGGTGGTGGAGTGCAGAGAGGGCCCGGAGGCCGCCGCAGCCGCCGCCGCGGAGCTGAGGAAGGGCAAGCAGGCCAGCTGGTGGTACCAGCTCATGCAGAGCTCCCAGGTCTACATCGAAGGGTCGGCGGCAGAAGGTGCTCGCTTCATCCGCTCCGAGCGGAAGAAGAAGGTGGGCACGGGGGTGGCGGCACTCAAGCAGCAGGCCGAGGCCAGGAAGGGGCCGCCCCCGAGGGAAGGGGTGGTGGAAGGGGCCGAGGCCTGCCCCATCACAGAGGAGGGACCCGTCCACGAGGTGCCCCGCGCCAAGGCCGCCCCGGAGCCCGCCCAGAAGCCGGAGCCCTCGGTCAAGGAAGAGGTGAAGGAGAAGAGCCGCCCCTTCTGGATGGGCAGCCCGCCAGACTCGGAGCTCACAGAGCTGAAGGGCACCAGGGAGAAGGAGCGCGGGCCAGCCCCGAGCCACGGGGTCCCGGAGCAGAGCAGCGCCTGCAGCCCCGAGAGCAGCCAGCCCAAGTGGGGGCACCTCTTCGGCTCCCGGAAGGCCACCAAGGAGCCCAAGCAGACCGGCAGGTGAGGAGGGGGAGGGGAGGGGAGGGGGCTCAAAGGCGGCCCTGCTCTGGAAGGGAGGGTGTGGCCTGCTTGCTTGTGGGGGGCCCCTGTTTTCCCTTTAAACCACCCTCTGTGTATGTAAACGTGGTAGTTTTCTGCTGCCACCAGGAATTAAGAATTCCACAATCTGTCTCTGCTGGTAGTATGACCCAGGGTCTGGGCACTTCAGAGGACTATGTGGCCCTGAGGAAGGACTGTACTGATCTTTGGGATACATTTAAACAAAAATCAATTTATTGAATAAAGAACAAAATAGGTTTCTGGCTATCTTGAACTGTTTCTGGGGAAAGGAACTTGTAAATACAGGGGTCATTTCGGGGGGATCGCGAGGATCGCCGTTCCCCCGGGTGAGGTGCGGGGGGCGGGGCACACGACGAAGCCCCGCCCCCTGCTTCCGGTCGGGGTAAAATGGCGATTTGACGCACCCTGTAAGTGCTCAGGGTGGACGGGTGTTCCTTACAGCAGTTTGGACTGTATTTTGGTCCAACGCGGCTTCCCCCAGGCAGGGGGAATGACTGGCAGCCATCAAGACCCAAGAGAGAGTTGAGATTGGTGTGATCAAGTCTCGGAGGAGGCTTGTATTACACTTTGATCCCCTCTCCTGAAGCGGGCGAGCGCATTCAGGGGGTGTGGCCTCATGACATACTTCCGGTGATGTCAGGGGGTATGGCATATGCTAATGAGTTATGCTAATGAGTTCCCCTAGCTCTTTTTCTATGAAACGACCCCTGTGTAAATATAACTGGCCAGGTGTCGCACACCGTCTCTCAGACACCAGAATTCCACGCTGACGGGCTTCTCTCTCTCATATAGGTAGCCACACTGGCTAAGCTCTTTGTCTTGGGCACACACGATAAACCATTTGTCTAACCACACAGTTTAGACACTACTTGTTTCTTTGCCATATGTTTAGAGTCACACCGACTCTCTTCATAGCTCTTCCACACTTCACTTTCCAAAGACACACACACAGAACTCTCTGTCATAAAACACACACACAGACTCCTCTCCGAACATCTCTCCTCCCACAGCACACTCATCTCCCCCTATCGCCCTGCAGACACCCCCCCCCAAACATGGAATCATTAGAGGGGGGTTCTGGGCAGGGAGACTCTCGTGATGGTCTGAGGGACGCCGCTGAGGTAAACCTCTTGCTTGACCGGCAGCCTTCTTCCCAGGATGCCATCTGGCTGGCTGAGCCTGGACCGCTCCGTGTTCCAGCTGATGGCCCAGACCGTGGGGGCCGGCGTGTGGAAGGAGGCCGCCTCGGAGCCTGAACGGGGCCCGGCAGACTCCACCTCTTCTTGCCCCAAGCAGCAGCAGCCGCCCCCGGAGAGGAACCTGCCCCCGGAGACACCCTGGTGAGTGGAGTCAGGGCAGGGGCAAGCGTGTGTGTGTGTGTGTGTGTGCGGGGGAAACAGTGCCCCCTGGGCTCCGTTGCCAGCCGCTTGGCATCTCAGCCGGGCTTGCCGTCAGACGCTGCACACCCTCGTCGGAGGGGTCAGCCACAGGTGGAATGCCCAGCAGGGAGCAGCGTGGCTCCGAGGTCCAGCCATGTGGCCCGGAGGGAAGGCCTGGGGAGGGATGGGAGCTCGGCATGGACTTCTCTGGGTCCAGAGCCCTGGGAGTGGAAGGGAGGAGGGCTGGGGGGACATCAGAAGAGCCTTGCTGGGTCAGACCAGGGAGGGTCCATCCAGTCCAGCATATCCTGTCTCACACAGGGCCCAACCAGTCCCTCTGGAGGGCCAGCAACAGGGCAGAGAGGCCGAGGTCTTCGCCTGATACGGACACCAGAAGAGCCCTGCTGGGCCAGATCAGGGAGGGTCCCTCTAGTCCAGCCTCCCGTCTCACACAGGGGCCAGCCAGTTCCTCCGGAGGGCCAGCAACAGGGCAGAGAGGCCGAGACCTTCCCCTCTGAGAAGGAACACCAGAAGAGCCCTGCTGGATCAGACCACTGAGGTCCACCTAGTCCAGCATCCCGTCTCACACAGGGGCCAACCATTTCCTCTGAAGGGCCAACAACAAGGCAGAGAGGCCGAGGCCTCCCCCTGAGAAGAGCCCTGCTGGGTCAGACCAGGGAGGGTCCATCCAGTCCAGCATCCCTTCTCACACGGGCCAGCCAGTTCCTCTGGAGGGCCAGCAACAGGGCAGAGAGGCCGAGGCCTCATCCCTGATAAGAACCTCAGGAGAGCCCTGCTGGGTCAGACCAGTGAGGATCCATCTAGTCCAGCCTCCTGTCTCTCACACAGGGGCCAGCCAGTCCCTCTGGAGGGCCAACAGCAGGGCATAGAGGCTGAGGCCTTCCCCTCTGAGAAGGACACCAGAAGAGCCCTGCTGTATCAGAGCAGTAGTCTATCTAGTCCAGCATATCCTGACTCACAAGAGGGGCCGGCCAGTTCCTCTGGAGGGCCAACAGGCAGGCAGTATAAGCCGAGGCCTTCCCTTGACGCTGCTTCCCAGCTCTGGGATTCAGAGTCTTGCTGCCCCTGGACGTGGAGGCTCCCTTTAGACACCGTGGCTAGTGGCAGTTGATGGGGGGCAGACTACTCTCGAGCAGCAGGGCCCTTCTGAAGTCCCCCCCCCCAATTGCTCTCTGCTCTTTGAATCTGTCGAGCCCTTTTCAAGCCATCTGTGCCGGTGGCCATCACTGTCTCCTCTGGCAGCCAATTCCACATCTCAGTCACGCTCTGTGTAAAGTCATGTTTCCTGTTGTCTGTCCTGAACCTACTGCCCGTCAACTTCGCTGGATGCCCTCGAGTTCTAGGCTTTGGGGAGAGGGAGGGGAAAGTCCTCCTTGTCAGCTCTCCACACACACCCCCCCCCCCCCCGTGCATGATTTTATAAACCTCCATCCTGTCGTCGTCGTCTCCCCCCCCCCCCCGGGTCATCTCTTTTCTGAACTGGAAACGACGGGGCCATCCAAGGCTCTTCAGCCTTTTCTCGTAGGAAAGGGGCTCCCGCTGCTTAAGCCTCTTGGTGGCCCTCTGCTGCCCTTTCCCCAGCTGTCCTGCAGTGTCCCTTTTGAGTTGCGGCCACCAGAACGGCTGCACCGAGACTCTATCTGAGGGGCGTCCCAGTAGTGGCCGTGAGGTCAGGGAGCGAGCGAACGCCTTCAGCAGGCCTGCCAGGGTTTGCCACCAAGCTCCTTGGCTGGGCGTGGCTCCCCCATACCTCGCCAGGGCGCCCGCCTCCTCTGCCTGACGGGGCCCTCATGGCTCTCTGCTCTTCTTCCCCAGCGAGGTGAAGGCCCTTTGCCACCACATCGCCACGGAGGCCGGGCAGCTGAGCTTCAAGAAGGGAGACGTCCTGCGCGTGTTGGGCAAGGTGGACGCCGACTGGCTGCGGTGCCGCCGAGGAGCAGAGAGCGGGCTGGTGCCCATCATGTACGTCACGCACATGGAAGACGAGGACTATTGACGGGACGGGGCGCGAGGCCCCGGAAGCACAGCCCCCCCCGCCTGCTCCGGCCAGCCGCCCGGCGGAGCGGTGGTGGACAAGACTTGCCTTCTCCCTCTCCTGTGCCCTGCTCCGTGGGGGCGGCCGGCAGGGGGGCCGTGTTGCCCAGCACCATCGTGCATGCTCTCTCTCGCGCTCCGTCTGGGACCCCATGGTGCCCCCTCTCTCCTCTCCACCAGCTCCATCTCCGGCCTTCATCCCGTGTCAACATGAGGCTGCAGGGACCGAGACAGCCGGGGTTCGACGGGGCGGCCTGTGTCCAGCCACAGCCCCCAGCATGCACTGCTCCTCTTCCATCGGTGCCTGCGGGCGGGGCGGGGTGGGGGGCCTCTGCTGCCGGTCGCCGGAAGCTCTGCTCTAGAACTCTGTGCTGACTTATACTAACACAAGGACGGTGCCGCGGGGGCCCGTGGGAGCTGGGCAGGGCGGGGGCCCGTGGGAGTCGTCCAGCCAGTGTCTGTGTCTGTGTGTCGTGGTTTGGTGGCAGTCGACAACTGTTCTGTGGTAGAAGTAGCGGGTTTGTGGGAATTGCCCCCCATCGAGGGAACTGGGGGTTTAGGGGGGAGTGGCGGTATGGGGATGGGGGAGGGGACAGTGCTTCCAGCCAGAGTGGGCCAGTAACCCCCCCCCCCTCTTTCTGGGCAAATGGCTATGGTTTTTAAGGTGTTTAAAAGTGACGGACAAGCACAGCAGCGGGAGGGCCCTGGAGGCCACCGGCCCGGTGGAACTGCCTGCCACGTGATTTTGAAGGAGGGTCTTCCGGGGGGTGGGTGGGAGTCATTTACTTCTGTGCTGTGTTCCATGCCCACTTAGGGGACAAGTTGTGTATGGAGGGGGGGGGGCAGCCCTCAGACACACACACCCCCGGTCTCAGTGTAGCTAACGCGACAGTATTATGGCCGAGGCCAGCCAGTGCGTAGCGTCTGGGCAGGGGCCTCCCCTCCCCCCCCCGCCGGTCCCTGCCCGGGGCGCCTCTGACCTTGCAAGGTTTGCTCCTCTGTGTCCATATGGCTCTTGCAGAGATGGCGCCACTATTTAATTTGTACTTTTGGCGTTAGAACAGGGTGTCTCGCCTTTATTTATTTCTTTATTTATGATGCACATTAATTAAAAAAGAAGGTGCTGACGACGAGCCGCTCTCCGAAGTCGTGACTGGGGACGCCACCCTGGGCTGCCCACGGAGTACCCCACCCCACCCCCACCCGTCCGAAGCGGGCATGTGCAGGGCTGCAAGTGACGCCGGTTGCAGAGGACGGGAGAGACCCTTGCTGAGGCCGGAGGGGAGGAAGACTCGGCGTGGGGTGGGGCTGCTCGAGAGTAGCATGCCCCGAGAAGGTCCAGGAGGGGGGCCACTGGTGGACAGGCCTGGACAGGAAGGGATGTGTCCCTGGAGGTCCTGCCTGCATCGGTCCGGTTTTCCTTCCCTTAGCCCCACCTGGGTGCCGTTTGCCCTGAGATGCCACCAGGGGGCATTTGGAGAGCTTCAAGAAAAAGCAGCAGTTGCTGCTGTGCGTGGCTGAAGGCGCCTTGAAGCGCCGGCCAGGGGTGCTGCTGCTGCTGATGCTACTGCAAAGAGGGCTGCTCTCAGGGGCGTTCAGCCAGGTCTTTGTGGGGATGGCTGTGGGGGGGGGGAGACCCCTGACCCCCTCCCTTGTCAGATAGCTTCAGGACAGCCAGGCGGCAGCTTCTTGGGATGCGTGGCCTCTCCCCTGGCCCCTCTCTGTATCCCCCTGCTGCAGGGGAAGGAAGGAAGAGCCCCTCCCTGGCGCTCCGCAGCCTCTGTCCAGATGGGGGTAAATGAGCCCCTCTCCTACCCAGGCGGGGTCAGTCCTGGAGGTGCAGCAGGCCTGAAGGGGGGGCGGGAGCTGCCTGCTGCTTTTCCGTCTCAGGTCCTGTCATGATTTGCTGTGGGGAGCAGAAATAACCCATTTGCTCCCACGGCTCAAAATGTGGCAAAAGGGGGATCCCCCCCCCCCCATTGACCCCCCCCTTGTGAGCCCGGGCTGGCCGCCAGTTCCCTTCTCTGACCCTGACTTCTCCCGGGCCTTACTTGGCAGGGGGGGGGGGGGCTCGGCTTTCTTAGACAGCTGCCTGGTACTGAATCAGAGGGCGGCCGGGCATCCCAGCCTCTGACCGGAAGCTGCTCTCCGGGGCCGCTGGGAGTGGCTGGCTGATGAAGGGAAAGGCTGGTCTTTTTCTGGCCTTTCCCAACAGCTCAGCCCCCTCCCCAGACGCCCCCTCCCTCCGAGAGCCCAGGTGCTCTTGGGTTGCTCAGAGCTGACAAAGAACTGGTCCGACCCCAATCTCAAAGGCATGACGGACGGACAGACGGACGGCCTGCCAGCATCTTCCCCATCCTGTCTGTCTGTCTGCCTGGGGGGGGAGAGTTTGGGGGCTTCCCCCGGCACAAAGAGAGGGGCCCAGTTTCTGGGGGGGGGGGGGAATCTGGAGATGGGGCTGGGGAAGCAGCCTTCTTCTATGGCAGGTGGCCGGGCGTCAGCTTCTCCTCCGGTGTGCTCCGGCCCAGGGCGTCGTAGGTCAGGTGGCCGTAGGTGCGGCCAAAGCGGAACTTGTAGCCTAGAAGCAGCAGCAGAAGCCAGAAGGTGTGAGAGGAGTGGGGCAAGGGAGGCTCTATATTCTTCATGCTTGGGGGAGTAACAGTGGGAGGGCTTCTGGAGTTCTGGCCCCACTGGTGGACCTCCTGATGGGCACCTGGTATTTTTGGCCACCGTATGACACAGAGTGCTGGACTGGATGGGCCATTGGCCTGATCCAACATTGGCTTCTCTTCTGTTCTTATGAATTAGATAAGCATATGGAGCAGAAGTCCACTAGTGGCTTGGGGAGGGGGGCAACAGTGGGAGGGCTTCTGGTGTCCTGGCACCACTGGTGGACCTCCTGATGGGCAACTGGTATTTTTGGCCACTGTGTGACACAGAGTGCTGGTCTGGATGGGCCATTGGCCTGATCCAACACTGGCTTCTCTTATGTTCTTATAGGAACTCTCAGTCTGGGGCAAGGGATGCTCTGTATTCTTGGTGCCTGGGGGGGTGGCAACAGTGGGAGGGCTTCGGGAGTCCTGGCCCCACTGCTAGACCTCCTGATGGCCCCTGGTATTTTGGGCCACTGTGTGACACAGAGTGTTGGACTAGATGGGCCAATGATCTGATCTAACACCGGCTTCTCTTATGTTCTTATCCTTTATTGGATGCTGACAAGGGGGGGGGGGGGGGGGGCTTGAGGTGTGTGAGTGCCAAATGCCAAGGCCCTCCTTCTCCCCGGCCAGTCGCCCCACTGTACTTTTGAGACCCGACCCTCAGGAGGCTGAGCCCTCTAGGGAGTGTTAGGCCAGACTCGCCACCTGTGCCTCCTCCCAGGATAAATAGCCCAAGGCCAAAGCAGCAGCAGCAGCAGCAGCAGAAGCAGAGACCCTTTGAGGGTGGAGACACGGGTGTGTGTGTGGGGTCTTCATAGCCTGGCCCCCCGGGAGGCTGAATCAGGACTGAGGCCAAGGGAAGCCCACTCCCCCGCTGAGGCCTGAGGGAAACCTGGGGCTGGAGGCCCTGAAACCCAGAGCAGCCTGGCCCCCTCCCTCGCGGTGGGGCTGCCAGGCTGAGACCGGCCAGCACGGACGGACCCCACTTTGGGCTCTGCCGGTCTGCCCTTGGGGTTCGAGGCAGGCACGGGAGGCGGCCCCGGCTGAAGGGAGCAGGAGGCAGTCCGGGGAGGCCTGGGGCGATGGCCCAGCCACGCACACACACACACCCCGGCTCACCCGGCACGTAGCCCTGGTAGTGGGGCAGGAGGCCCTTGTCTGTGGGGTAGGTCTTCACCACCAGTGGCGGGAGGGCTCGTCCGTCGCTCCTCCTGTGGGCGCCGCCCTCCAGAGAGGCCTCCTGCTGGTGTTTCCGAAGCGTCTGTCGAAATTCCGCCCAGGCCTGGCGGGACAGGGTTGGGTAGCTCGCCCCGATCAAATAGCGGGCCCGGGGGACGAAGCCCGTGAAGCCTGCGGGGGTCACACAGAGGGTTACAGCCGGCACGGAAGCCCCTGGGCACCAGTGCTGAAGCCAGGGCCGGCGGCACTTCTGGGAGCTGCCCTGCCAGCCGGTCTTGGCCCCCCTGGAAAGTGGCCGACCTCAGGGTCCCTGCTGGAGGGGGGGGAGATGTGGGGCAGGGACGCTTCCCCCCTCCCCCGTGGACCCTCCGTGGAGCCTCACCCGAGATGAAATATTTCTGGGGGCCACCATCCTCCACTGCAGCAGGCGCTGGGTGTGGCTTGGACGCACAGCTGGGCCCTCGGGGCGAAGCGGCCAAGCGAGGCTTCTCCTCGCCAGGGGGGAGCTGGGGGCAGAGAAGCAGCGGGGCTGCGGGTGAGGCAAAGAGCTCCAGAGAGCAGCAGCCCAGCCGGTCCCCAGGAGAACTGCCGGGTCTTGAGTCCGGCAGCACCGTATTTGCAGGGCATGAGCTCCCGAGAGCCAGCGCTCTGAGGGTCTGAGGAAGGGAGCGCTGAGTCCTCTGACGGCTCGTCCCCTGACAGAGCTGTTAGTCTCTCGGGCGCTCCCAGGTTCCTTCCTGTTTAGGGTTGGTCACGTGACCCACTCTGGGGTGCCATGTGGGGCCCTTAAAGCAACTCCCTTCCCTCTCTTGCTGAGCCTTTGCGCGTGAACGTCAGGGAGGGGAGGGGGGTGCAGGACGGAAATGGACGCATGAAGCCCTTCCACATGGGGCTCCGTGGCAGAGCATCTGCTTGGCACGCAGGAGTCCCCAGCTTCACTCCTTGGCCCCGCTAGTTGAAAAGGACTGGGGAGCCGGTGACGGGAAAGGCCTTTCTCTGCCTGGGACCTTGGAGAGCCGTTGCCAGTCTGAGGAGACCAGACCGAGGTCTGATGGAGCAGAAGGCAGCTTCCGGCCTTCACGTGGAAGAGGCACCAGGCAGGAGAAGTCCCGCCCCAAGCCCTTCCCCACTGCATCCTTCACGGAGACCTTCCTTGTCCCCTCCCTCCCCCCTTCTGATGGGGGTATAAAGACGCAGAGGTCTCCAGTCCCGACTCCTCTCTGATGAAGAGGCCTTTGAGTCTTGGAAGCTTGTACCCCTTTTGGTCTCCAAGGAGCGACTGGATTCGAATCTAACTGTTGTTTTTAAACTGGAGTCCAATTGCAGGGGTGCGAACGGCAACTCTGTTGATACCCTGCTGGTGTCAGCAGCGGGCGGGCGAGGCGAGCCCTCTTTTCTGTGAAAGGAAATCATCGCAGTTCTGCCAGCCTCCGAGGGGGGCGACCAAGAGGAGGAGGGGTTTGGAGCCCCTTCCTTCCTTCCTTCCTTCCTTTTCCCGAAAAGTGATGAACCCCGGGAGGTGCAGCGATGGCTGCAGGCACAGGTGTCTTCTTCTAAAGGGGATGAGGGAGACTTGTGGGTGTGAGAGGGGTGTGTGTCCGCCGATAGCTACTGGCCTTTGCACCCAGAGGCCAGGAGGGGGGGGCTGGGCTGGCCAGCCGTGGGGGAGCTTTGATGTCATCTAGGGGCACCTGGCGGGCCACGGGCTGCTGGACGGCGGGGGGGGGGCAGCCTGGGCCAGGAGGACATCCCTGACCTTGACACACCCTTTACCCGGGTCCGGTCTCCTAGGCCCTTGGATCGACGGTGCCCGAGGCTCAGCAGGCCAGGCAGAGGCCTCCCTTGGCCAAGGCCCCAGGACCCCCCAGCCCCCCCAGCCTCCGCCTGCCTGCGTAACCGTCACTCACGTCAACCTCCGGCGTGACATCCTGTGGAGTCAGTGCGACTGGGCGTGCCTGCCTCCCACCTGCGCCCCTCACCAGCTGCCTGGCAAACTCCTGCCCGGCCTCCTTGCAGATCTGGCTGTAGGTCTTGGCAAAGTAGTGCTGTGCCCGGGGGATGAACCCTGCCACAAAACACACGCAGGAGGAGGTCGCTGAAGGGGTGGGGGGAGTTGTCACAGAAGAGTCTTGAAGGGGGCTGCTGGCTAGAGCTGCCGGGTCTTCCCTAGCCACTGGCGGGGGGGGTTCCCTCTCAGCGGTGGAGTCCTGTGAGTAGGAATGTGAGCTACTTTTTGAGCTACTGGCAGTAAAGTTGTGAGCGAGTGATTTGGCTACTGCATCAATTAGCTTGCACTGGAGCCGTCCTTCCTGGGCTAAGATAAAAATGTGTGAGCCAGAGGCTAAAAAACTGTGAGCTAGCTCACACTCACTCAGCTTAGAGGGAACATGGGGGGGGGGGTTAGGCTCAATGCTCCCTCTAAGTTGTGGAGTCCTGTGAGCAAAAATTCTTCTTTGTGACCTCCTGGCATTAAAGCTGTGAGCCAGCGATATGGCTGCTGCATAAACTAGTTTGCTCTGGAGCCCCATCCTTCCTAAGCGAAGACAAAAATGTGTGAGCCGGAGGCTGAAAAACTGTGAGCTAGCTCACACTAACTCAGCTTAGAGGGAACACTGGTTAGGGTCGCCAAATTCAGGTTGGGAAACTCCCAGAGATTTGGGGGTGGAGCCCGGGGGGAGGGCGGGGACTTCAGTGGGGCACCATGCCACGGAGTCCACCTTCCAAAGCATCCCTTGTCTCCAGGGGAACTGATCTCTGCAGTCAGGAGAGGAGCTGCAATTCCGGGGAATCCCCAGGTCCCTCCTGGAGGCTGGCCCCCCTCCTGCCACGCACACCAAGGCTTCTGGTTGCTAGTGAGGGTGGGCTGCAGGTTCCACTCTGGCGCAGCCTCTTTAGAGGGCAGGGGCACTCAAGGCTGCTTACGGAGGAGATGAGCCCCAAACCACACTATACAATCCAAAGAGCCCCATTGGGCTGCGGCCGCCCAAACTCCGTCTCATGAGGACTGCAGGGGGAGCAAAAGGCCCTCCCTGCCAGCTAGGGTGGCCCTCAGCAGGCACCCGCCAAGAGGAGAAATGGAGGGACAGGAGCCCTTCAGATGGAGCGCTGCAAGTGTAGAGGGGCTGCCACGGGAAAGGCCCTGACGGACACCCACATAACTCACAGCTTCTGGGCCGGACTTCCTGGGAGGCTGATGGCCCCTCCCATCACCCCTTACATTTCCATGGGCTCTTCTGGTTGCCCGGACAGAGTGGCACGATTGGGCAGCCCTTCTTTCCTGCCTGCCAGCCAGCCAGCCCGCCCACCCTCCCCCATCTGGCAGAGGTCACCCTAACTCGTGGCCACGCAAGCACTCGACCTCCCTGGCCCCAGTGGTTTGCCCTTACACAGAACAGACTCTTCACCTTACCTACAGGTGCCTCACCTGTATATCCTGGGATCGTGCAGCAACTGAACAGGCTGGCGTTTGCCCCATGGCCCTCTCCAACACCCTCCTCCGGGAGGTCAAGGTGGGCACGGGGGCACCAGTTGGGCTGCAGAAGACGCTGGCCGTGGCACGCCCCCTCCGGGCCGGTGAGCTGCTGCGAGGTGAGCTTCCCGTAGGTCTGGCCCAGGGCAAACTTGTAGTGGGGGCAGTGCCCGGCGTAGCTGCAAGGACCCCCGGGGTGAGAGCACAGCCTGGATCTGACCCCCCAGGGGATTAGCCCCCCCAGCCTTTCCCCGGCACCTGCCCCCCCTCCCATCATATCCTGCAGTGGGCACCCAGGGTTCCCCACCCCTTGGGCAGTGAAGCAGTGCTAGGGTTAACGAGGCAGCTGTGGTGCCTCCTTGATTAAGGGCAGGGGGGAAATAATTGTCCTGAAGTCCTCCCTGTGGGGGGTGGGAGGTATGGGGTTAAATCCCCCACCCCCACCCCGTATCAAAGCTGAATGCAAACTGGGCCTCCCAGTGGCTGCTAACAGCTTTGGGGCGGGGGGGGGGAGCCACCAGGATGCCTACGCTGCCACGGAAGCTCCCTGGGTGACTGTGGGCCAGTCACAAACCCTTGGCCGAGCCCACCTCGCAGGACCATTGTGAGGATAACATGGGGAACAATGTAAGCGGCTTTGAGTCCTTGCTGGGGAGAGAATAGACGCCTGAGCTGTTCCCATAGGGAGGGGACTCCTGTGACCACTGCAGCCTTTTGCTCGGGGCCTCCCCCGGCCATCTCCTCCCTCCCGCTTCCCATTCTGCTCCCAACGCAGCCTCCCTTGCCCCCCCCCCTCGGGTGAGGCCCTGCCTCAGTCTCCTCCGCGGAGCCTCTGCACCTTTGCAGGCAGGATGCTGCCCTGCCGCCTCTCAGGGAGTCAACAGTGTTGTTCCCGCGGCCTCTCAGTGCTCCGGCCAACTGATGCAGCCGCTCTAGGATGACTGAGAAGCAGCAGAGACGTCCAAAAGTACGTTAAAGTACGGGGGGGGGGGGGGGGGAGAGAGAGGAGATAACTACGACCCAAATTCAATACCCCAGGTCCCCATGCCGATCCTCGTGGGACCCAGGCCCACGTCCCACCATTGTGAGAACTGTCCACCGATTCCCACGGCCTGCTCCCTGCCCTTTGGCCAAGGTCCAGTCCTTGTTTGCTCTCCGGCAAGAAGTTAAAAGCAACAATACAATTAATGATTCCAAACAAATGAGTAGGATCCAAGGGCGCGTGTCCTCTTCTTCTGTGGCTGCTAAGCTGACCCTGGAGACTTTGGTGTGGCGACTTCCCAAAAGGCAGCTGGTCACCGTTAAAGCAGGAACCAGAGGGGCTCAGATGAAAAGACAGGAGTCCAGGGCGTTGGCAGGTCCTGATCTTCTGCTCTCAATGACCGGCAAATCTGTCTGAGCGCTTCAGGGTGGGGGTCCTCCCTCGATGGATGGCCTGTCACGGGGGGGGCTCTTCTGAGCACTGCGCCCCAGTGTGGTGCTGCCTGTCCCACGTGGCGGGTCCTACAGGCAAGGCCGTTGCCTGGTGGAGGCCTGCGGTTGGCAGGCAGCAGGCAGAGAGGGTCTGGCCCTCCTCCTCCTCCTCCGGTGCAGAGGGGATCATTCCTTCTTTAGCATCCTGCCTCATAAGGAGACCTGGCGGACCTGGGCAAGCCCCTCCCCCTTCCTTGGCCAGGGTTGCCACCTCCATGACGGGGGGGGATTCCTGGAGAGTGGGGAGGGCATCATGGCAGAGCGCCCACCTTCCCCAGCAGCTACTTCCCCCCGGTTCTGAGTTCGGGAGACCTCCAGGCGGCACCCGGAGGATGGCAGCTCTGCGGTTAGCCCAGATGCCCCCCCCCGTCAGGTCCCTGCCGTGTCTGCGTGGCTCCACCTTCTCTGTCTGGGGTGGTCGCCAAGAGGGGGCCGGCCGGGGCGCCCCCGTCTCGGGAGACTCCCCGCCAGCCGCAGAGCGCGAGGGTCGCTGTCGTCGAGGGCTGCCCAGGCGGCACCGCAGGAGGGATGGGGGGATGGATGGATGGGGGGGGGCTCTTCCTTCCCCACGAGAGGCCCCTCCCCTCCCCTCGGCCCGGCTCCCGCCTCCCAAG